CCCCAAAACCCCAAAACCCCAAAACCCCATTTGATTGAATTTATTAAATTCTGACAGTTTGCGTATAAATACTAACATAGAATAGGATTATTTTTATTTATATTTTATTTGAATTAATGCAAAGACGAAGAATTGACCAATTTCGATTCATATACCGATATCAATATGACCAAACTGTAATATACTACTCTACTGTTCAGAAAATAATAGAATAAGATATCACAAGAATCTGTTTTAGCATTGTGGAAGCATCTTTTCGAAGGTATGATATATTAAACTTAATAATCTAAAAAATTGTCAAATCCTATCGAAAGACATTGCATTTTTACTTTCTTGACTAATTAAAAATGCTCTAACTTGGGACAAAAATAGTTAAAAATTGCTGAAAGCACTTTCATTGCTATAGCTGATGGCATAGAAAGCAAAAATGAAGACTACAAGCTAGATAAGAATAATTCACAAGAAAAAATATAATAATTCGATAGGCAAGATTATAGTTTAAAGATGATAAGGTTAAGAAAACTTCTTATTAATTCCAAGAAGCCAAGGAATTAACTTGAAGTAATTCACACTTATAAATAAAGAAGTCAATCTCGATTCCATAAGATATTGATCTCTCTCTAGGTTCATTCGAACTCAGGGTTCTCATTTTATTGCACTGAAGCAACTTGGCAATTTGTGTGGTAAGTTAGAAATCCGTTTTATTATTAATTACCTGGCTTGTCACTGCTATCTTCCTCTACAAAGGTTTCTTTTATCGGTTTAACCTTGAATTGCTCTGCCTAATTGTAGGGCTCTGTGTATTCTTAAGTCAACTTTCTTGAAATTTTCTATGTTCGTTCCATCGTTATAACGATTTAAAATTGAAAGGGTTATTTTTTACATATCCAAACTATATATACTCAGAGCGATTGAGAATATCCGAAAATGAATGTAATTCTATGATAAAAGGTTTGTCCTAATCAATTCTGAAAAGTCTCAAAATTGAAAAATCTAAAAGTCCAGCTCAAGATCATCATAATAAAACTCTCTAACTTTTCTATCTCTAAATGGACTAATGCTTATTCCACGTATTAACAGCATTAATACTATCTTTTAACCAAATCCGCAGTATAACTTAGGACAAATTATCAAGAAATGTATATTTCAATCATATTCTATGATTCACAAGATTTTATTTCCTCAAAAAAGTATCTCTAGTTAGTAATTTCTTCTTAAAAATGAGATGAATTTTTGCTGAAATGTTATGTTTCTTTACTATGTCTGTCATTTTATTCTCCCATAGGTTCTATTATAGATTCTGCAATCAATTTTTATTCTAGAAAATGGCATCTGAAGCTACAGAATTTAAGTTTATTTATTTTTAAGATAAAATTCTGATCTAAACATCGATTTTTGTCAGGCGGGGTTTTGGGGTTTTGGGGTTTTGGGGTTTTGGGG